GTTCGTGTTTGGCTGCGGTGGCCAATGCGGTGACCAGAGACACGGACATGGCCATCGATACTCGACAGAGTTCCTGCTGCCGCTGCCGGCTACCGCCTGCTACTCGCGTGACACGTCAGATCAATTTTTCGAAATATATTTTCTATGAAATTTATTTGCCTGTCATTAGAGTTTGGCAAAACGTGCTTTGGTCGCATTTGCAAGTGCTCCGCTGGGGGCAATGGCTAAAACAGCAGCCGCAGCCAAAAGCCAACCGGAGTCCGAGTCGGAGCCAATAGCTTTGGATATGGTCGCAGCGCGGTGACAAAACCATACGTGAGCGCAAAAGCTGCAACAAACTGTTGGGTTGGGTTGGGGGGCGAAAACAAATTTTTCTTTTTGCGCGTATCTGACGGATACGTGTAGATGTAGAGCGCGCGGTGCGCACGTGTGTTTTATGAAAATTGCGTTTCAATTGACAAAAAAGGCGCGAGTCATGTGTTTGGAGCGAAACAGAAAACATAAAATATGGCAATTTATGGCGAAAACTCTTTCCAGCTTTATGTGCGCCTCAATCTACCCATGAATATTACGCTGATGAAATTGTTTTCATTTCGACTCAATTTTCGTGGTTGGCCCAACGCGTGTCGACGGGTGGTCCCCGATTGCGCGTCTCCCGTATCCGGTTGTTGCTCCGGCCCAGCCAGGCCAGGCAGTCAGGATATTTATTATTTTATTAGCGGCGTGTGTTCACCCATTCCCAGCATTATCTACGCTGGGTGTGGCGCAATTTTTACGGCCACTCTCTCGCTCTCGCTTAACCCTTTCCGGCTGTCTATTTTGGCCAAAAAGCGACCTGGCCAGCCTGTTATGATAATTAAGTAATGGCTCCGTACACACTCACAGCCACATGTCCAAACTTCCTACACCAGCTCGCTGTGTGCCGGCCGCTTGTCCTTAAGTGCTGCCCACTCGAGCGTCACTCTTCATGCGAACGGGATTCACATTCATGGACATGGAACTGGGCCTGCCTACGGCTTGCAAAGTCCTTCCTAAGGTCCTTCCGCCTGTCTGTCTGTTTGTCTGTTTGTTTATCTGTCTGTCTGTCTGTTGGTTTGTTTGCTTCTCGTGTTGGTTTTCGAATTGAGTTAGCACTGTTTTTGTTGTTGTTGTTATTGGCATGAATAATTACTGGAAAAATCGTAACTCTGTTGCACATGCATAATGCATGTCGTCAGTCAACACATGCCCACGTCCAAAAAAATAGTTCACGGCATAAAAATAGTACTTTAATTAAGTGTTCTTTACGCTGTTCTGTTAAACGATACTTCCATAGATACTGGTCAAATAATAATCAAGCTTTAAGATACTGCTGCTAAAAGTATATTTAATCTGAACTGTAAAAGTGACCCAGTCAGAACAACGAATATGCGGAATTGAATTCACGGGTACTGTGTGGTTATTAATATTAATCAGCCAAAGACCATAGAAGTCAGTGCTATTTTAGAAAGAAAACTGTAGGATTACCTATATATCATGCTATAATATTATAAAAAATAATAAAATTTATTATACCAAGATATGTGTAGCTCATTCATTTACCTCCCGGTCTTCTCAACACGAATCTAGGACTTTAAGTACCTTTTCGAATTTTAAAGGTTTTGGAATTTATAATCATCAGGCAACAAATACAGGTCTTTCTTTTAAACTAGGCAGCTTTATCATGAGGATACATTTTTGACAAGAAGATACAATGTTGACGGACTAATGTTCATCTTATGAAAAAAGTATTGGCAATTTATAGTCATTATTTCTGTTTTGACAACTGAAAAGAAGCCAGAACATAGCTTAATTTAAAATGAAGTGTAACTTCTGTACAAAACAGACACATCTGTAATATATGACAATTGGAATATCCTAAAAATTCAAACCAAACCAGAAATAAAATATGCTTAAAAGTTTCCATTTGTAGGGCCAAAAGGCATTTGGGTGCAATAAACTAGAGATATGTGTTTCAGTTTTTATCTCGAATAGTATATTACCATTTCCTGCCCAATGATATCGCTCATTGTGCGAGTAGGTGAATGGGTTGCCTACCAAACGATTTGTTAAAAGATTTCATTTATGGTTTTATGCTCACATGCCACTTAACAACTACCAACAATCGCAGATAAAAGGCGAAGAACCAAAACAGGCCCGATAAAACGGGCCCCAAAATCAATTGAAGGCAGAGCGCAAATGTCGGAATTAGCTCGTCAGGTGACAATTTTAGTTATGGACTCTGAACTGTTTCGATTGGAGGCAATTCGGTTAGGTTTTCGGTTGGTGAATGCTCGACTGTTATCTGCATAGCTTAACAGTTATCGTAAGCTAGCCCCGGTTTTATCATCATATCTGAACGTGAAGCGTTTACTTTCGTTTCATTTCGTTTTGTTTTGTTTTTTATTTTTTGGGGGGCAAAAGTTCAGTGCGCGGCACGGAGCCCTCAAAAGGCCTTCCTAATTGCGCACTAAATTAGCTGCATGAAAGAAAAAAAAAAGAAAGAAAAAATAAAAATTATTATAAGAAACCAGCCCAATGAATGAAGCGAAACATGAAATGTGCCGCCAATCAAAAAGGCGCACATTAAAATTACCCACAAAATTGCCGAAAAAGAAATGAATTGAACAAATGAATAAATAAATGGGCTCTGCTCAACTGGTTGACTGCGTTTACGAGTCACTTAAAATGCTGCTCTTACTGATGCTGCTGCTGCTGCTGCTGTCTTTGGGCCCGCCTCTTGTGTCAAAACTGCGGCTGCTGATTTCAATTCGAGCAGACGAAGCAAAACAATTGAAATCCCACTCAATAAGAGTTATGACCAAAATACGCTAAATATCTAAAATAAATTGATCAGCTGAGCTCCGTGTAGAAGTGGGCTGTAAAAAGAATTTTGCCATGCTGATAGTTATTTCTTATTTGGTTTATAATATAAAATATTATATGTCGATAAAATGCATATGAAATAGGAGGATAAAATCAACCTAAGATGTGCGATACATTTGTAAAACTTCTTTAAAATATGGACTCTACTAAATGTGTTGGAAATAATATAATAGGATACCCTAGAACCGATAAATATAGAGTGTTTGCCCCGATTTAAACTACCTACATTCTGCAATGAGTTGACATGAAAAGCTTAAATTTAAGCGTAAATTTTGGGCTAAAATTCATGCATGAAATAGCCCAAAAAAATTAAAATATAAAAAATAAGATACTAAATTTATTTTTGTTCTCTCCAAGTTTCAAAAACCACATTTATTGGAAAATCTGGTTTAACACCTAACTATTTGTCGAATAAATAACTAAAGTAATCAGAAAAACGCGTATTTTTTATTTTAAATACATATAGATATACATAAAATTTTATGAAGTCCGCAGTTCTTTCTTATTTTCTCATATCCATATATATAATATGTTTGTGAAATAGCGCAATTATCAATGTACGTGCTTACTTGTGGGTATACGTATGTGCATGTTTATATAGGTTTAACAAAAGGTTAGAAGAAGGTTTTTAAATTCCCAACCACAGGAGCTTAGTCTGTTTCAAATTGCACGGGTTTAGCCTTCGGCTAAGACAATACCTTATCTATACACTAGCCTGGGACTCGAAACCCTCATATCGCTCATCCATCAAGAAAGCCCACAACTCTTAACTACACCTCGTTTTATGGAATTTCGGATGCGGCTTTGGCTTTGGTTTCAATGCCGACCTCATCATCCGTATTGACGTTCAATGGCACCCACACCCAAGCAGCCTCGTTTGCTGGGGACTGTCCTAAGGTTTCATAAGCGCGCAATGTTATTGAGAACACATTCGGGGGCTGGCTAGCTGGCTGACTGGCTGGCTGGCGATCAATTTAAATTAAGCCGAAGATTTTGTTTTAATTAAAAATCTTCAAATACGCTTAATGACAATTAATTGGTCAACATCATCGGCTCTCGATCGCCAGGGGCTAGGCTGGGCTCTCCCAACTTTCCATTTTCACAATTTACACTCTGGAGATTGCAGCGTCATTCCGGCTGCTCGAGGATCGCTCCGAGCGCCAGATGGCCACCAGTCACGCAACCACCATAAAGCGCACCACACGCTCGGCGCGGCTCGGCTCACATTTTGGGCGAGGGGGCTGCATGAGGTTATTGTGGGCATGTCGGGGGTGGAGGGGGGCTCATTTCAAAACGTTTCGTTTCAATTGAAACAAATCAAACTGAAAAGTGACGAGATACACCCACGCAACGCCTTCGATTGTGTTTCGTCTCATCGAGCCGATTCAATGATACAATATATGAAAATCACTCGATCTATCAATGTGTACAATGAAAGATTGTTTCTGGCGAAACTTTCAGCTCAGTCTGTAGCTGCAGAGTTCGGGAAGGTAATTGATATATAATGAATAGACGTAGGAAGAGTCAAACCTAGCTAAACTATTTCCTTTTAAACCTACCTAAAGTATTCTCTTTCAAGCCTATCTAAAGTATTCCCTTTAAGCCTAGCTAAAGTATTCCCTTTTAAATTATTTTAAATATGGATACACTAATTAAATAAATTAAATAAATAAAATTAAATAAATAAAAATTAAATAAATAAAAATTAAATAAATAAAAATTAAATAAATAAATGACGTATTCATAAGAAATTGATCTGTGTTCTCCTTTTCTTGTATTCCATATTTTTATATGTCTGTCTCTTTCCAATTCATCATTAATGAATTGAATTTATTTTAGCTTTCTACGAGTTTGCTAACTATTTATATTTTATATTTTCAATATTTCAATTAGCTTAACCTCCTTCAACTTTTTGCAAAGGAGAAGAGACCGCATTTTCTTTAGGGTATGTAAACATCATTTTACGTATATTTTTATGTATCTATACAATTATTTCAAGAAGAGGCCAAAGGACATTTGTTTTCCTTTAACAGCTATTTATTTTCTCTAACATTTTTCCCTTAAATTAATAAATAGCTGCTGAACATAGTTTTCTATTGCCTAGCTTCAACAAGGTATTTAATTGACCTATTATGACACATACGCGTAGCTTGAATAAATTCCAGATGATATGCCGTACGGTAATAGGGAAATGGTATAGGTCCCAAAGGTATTTCCGAGTAGGGTAAACATTACTAACCTCGTTACTTAACCGCAACAGCTTATTATAAAGTTTACGACTTTGAAGCATACAACCAGCCAAAGGACAAGCCAATTGGGCGTGAATTCAAATGATGGTCAGCAAAATGACGTTAATAACTAGTTAGGGTAAGCCTGTGGGAGAGTGGGAGGGGGTGGGGGGGAGTTGAACTAAATAATCTGTGAACTTTACAATGAAACAACAGAGTAGAAACTGAGCTCGTGGCCAGCTGACGACCCAGTCCCCGAAGGCAACACAACTGATGGACGACTGATGACATAATATGCAAATAATGCAAACACATACACAGGTAAATACACACACAAACACACACACGCACACACACGTGGTGCTGCACTATATAGTTTTTAGCTTGATTTCTTCAGGGAATTTCTCTGCATGCCAGCTGACAAAATGAACGACTATAACACTTAGAGAAGTGTGTGTGTGTGTGTGTGTGTTTGCTGTGTGCGGCTTGCAGCTCGTTTATCTTTTGGAACTCGGACTTGGTAATTTAGTTAATTACTTTAACATGTAACTGGCACCGCTCTGAAAGGTGCGGAGCTTCCTTCTAATCGCCGCCTCTGACAGCTGAATATGTCAGCGGGTTGCGTATTAGGTGCCAGCTCTCATTTTGCATTCGCTGTAATTAAAATAATTACCCCTTCCGTTTAACCCAGTTTCGCAGAGCAAACCCTCTCTCCTCTGGCCTTCGCGGCGCTGCTCAATTTGTTGCATTTGGTCGTCCATTAGCCCGCATTGTCTTCAGTCACAGTTGTGCCACGCAGAATGTGGCAGTGTGGCGCGGTTGCGTGCCTCATTGCCCCCGCTGCCAACCCTCTAGCCTCTAGCCTGGCCCAAGCATTGTTATTATTTTGTCACATGTGAACTGAGGCGTAAGCGAAGCGATTACAAAAGGGTGCCCAGCAGCAGCAGCAGTAGCCAGGACTCTCGACATGGTTTACTCTCCAGGATGAGGCATAAAATCATCTCTGTTTGCATACATATGTAGCTGAAATGCTGCTTGCGGCGCTGATTGTTCCTTTTGTTGGGCCGCTGAAATCGAGACTTACCCTTTGATCCCATCGCTAATATACGCCTACCCACCCACCCGTCCGCCCAATTGTGTGTTGGCTGATCGAACATTATCCCATAATTATAGGGCTTCCGTATGTTGTGGGCATTTGGCTTTTGGGCGCACGTGCGTCTGCCTCGCCCCCTTCCTCCCCACCCGCACACAATATTTATGCAACAATTTAACCGCAAAATTTATTCATGATTTTCAAAATTGTTTCAAAAGCCGAGAACCCTTTTCTGTTCTCCGGAACAGCGTCATATGTCGTTTATGTTGTGGCCAATTTTCAGATTAGCCGATTTATGTTTACATTAAACGGTTTCAATGCCGAGCAAGTGGATTTTTGTTGTGGAAATTGGAGAGCGAACTGCTTAAGGGAAATTTAATACAAATCCAATAAAGAAAACGTATTCATTTTAAGATCTTAACAGCCATCAGATGATCAGAAATATTATTGTACATATTTTTAAAACAAAACAAAACAAATGAAATAATATCTGAATATATATATATTCAAAAACTATAAAATATATCTTTAATATATACTGTATATTAAATTATACTTCGTATGACCCTTTTTCCATAGAAGAGCTTATAACGCTGCCAGAATAGTGGATATTATCCGGCCTTGCCCGTGCCGAGTGTTTTTCTTCGAATTGTACACATCGCCTTCTTACACATTTCCTAAAGTGGAAAAATTTTGACTTTCCCGATCCACTTTAAACTCTCTGGATTCACTGGAAGGAGGGGAAATTAAACACTTCCCAGAAAACAAAGCTTAAATTTGATTTACCTGTTGCGGGAAGCCGAATGTATGCTATATATACTGACTATAAATATTTCCCAGCCAAGTATAAGTTATTTCCAATGAATCTAAATCAAAGTCCAAAAAGAAAACTTTCAAATTAGGTCAAATATACCTCTTTCAATTCTCCTCAAAAGTATTTTCCGCCTGAAACAAAGAATAAAACTAGGTTTTATCGAATCGTTTTAATTAATAATTGCACGAACCAAAAATACTTTATTCTGATCAGATGTATATACTTCATTCAGTCTGAAATGCATCTGTCAATGCGTCACATTATTTGTCTCAAATTATGATACCCTCTGCTAAGGCATAAAAAGCCGATCTCAATACTCCACGAGTTGTGCATTGTGCTCTCAATTGGCATTGCGATATTGCTGTTTGCTCGGAAATACGATAAAATGCTTGAAAAAATAAAACAGTTAAGAACAATTAAAAATTTGAAATCAAGCAAAAGTTCGAAAATGTCAAACTTCGAAGCGTGAGAAATATTTTTGCAGTGAATCAAAACCAGAGAAGGAGAAGATATTTTTACAATTAAATATGCGGTTCAAGTTGGAATTGTGGGAAGCAGCAAGCGGAAAATACACTGAAAACAATAAGATTGCAGCTGAAAGGAATTTATAAGAAACAATATCTATTTATAATTATCTATCAATGAAGTATCTTTGTAATCAGTTCTGAGTATCCTTAAGATATTATTGAGGGATATCTAAAGAAAACTCAAATATATCGAAACTCAAATATCAACAACATTCTCGAATAAAGCTAAAGAACAATGCTGTCTGGTTTCAGATACAAAATGAAACTTTCATAAGATATATGACTATCATTAAAGTATATTTGTTAGGAAGCAAAGTATCTTTCAGATACATATTATTAAGGGATATCAAAAGAAATCGCAAATATTCTTCTCACTTTAAAAAGACCGCAATATTCTTGAATAGAGCTTAAGATACAATCCCGTCTGGTTGCAGATACAAAATCAAACCTAAAAAAATCCAAATAAATTGACTGCTATTTGTTTGGCAGTGTAAAAACCACAAATCGTTTCAGACATGCGATTTTTTTTGCACTCTATCAATTGCGAAGACTCCAAAGAAAAGCCGGGAACAACAACGGCTCGGTCCGGTCCGGCCCGGTCCGGAACGCAATGTATCCGTTGGATACGCTGTGGGCGCGATATGGCCATGTCACCCTTTTCATTAGGCTCCATTAACAGTGTTGGGGGATTAATTGAATTTAATTGATTTGCCAAAGCAGACTAAATTGGCCACACTGTCTAGATTCCAAGCGAGGCGCTGCAACAGATACAGCCACAGATACAGCTACAAATGTATCCATGAGATACATTACAGCAACACAGCTCAACTTGACTCGACTCGACTCGATGCTGTCTACCGATAGCTGAAGCTGGAAATGGCCGTTCGCTTCGGCTCGCCTGCTGGCTGGTTGGCTGGCTGGCTGGCTGCTTGGGATAAATTAATGAGAGTACATAGAATGGATTCTACTTTGGGCGACATTGTCTCGGAATCATTTGATCATCTAACAGTGCTTGCAAATACATTTGAGTACACATGAACTTTTATGTACTTATGTGTATATATATGCTTACGGACCTACCATATGACATCATCAGCCGCATTTGTGCGGGTCTGTGGGTTCTGCCTGCGGTTCGTTTAATTGCATGATGAGCCGCTGCTCACAGCTTGAGATCTCTGCTCCCATGTATGGGTGTGAATTTCCCTCTGCCCGTGTCCCTAATGATTGGCCCCAACGGGGGCGGCTGCTGTGGGCGTGGGATCTAGAGCTTCCACTGCAACTGGCGACTTTTCAACTAACCGACTGACACTTTTGACAATGCAACTGCTTAATTACATAGATTACCATCATCGCTGTCATTGTTGTTGTTGTTGTTGTATCTGCATTGGACAATTATGCGCTATGCCCAACTGGTTCTAAATATAGCTGCAAATTGACAAATGGGGAACTGCTTCTAACTAATTAGCTTCAACTGAGAACTGTGTTCTGATCAAATTCATTTGCAATTCAGAATGCGAAAACCGAATGACGAGAAAATGTCTGTTATTTTATATTGAGGAGGAAGTTTTTTAACAAATGTTCCAAATCAAGCAGAATTTACTAGACAGTTCCAAGATTTCGAAGAGTTTGACCCTTAGCAACATCAGATTTAAGTAGATAAAGATGGATATGTATTCCAACAATCGTCTGAAAGCTTTAACATTGTATATTAATAACTAGTCAATGACTAAACCTTTCGGTCTCTGTTAACCACTCATGAGCATGTTAATGTATAATTTATAATAATATAATATAATATATTTTTATTATTTAAAATAAATCGATTTTTCCGCGTAACAGCATTTAACATTATAATCTATAAAAATATTTAAGTAAAATCATTGTTTGGTATTGCTAAAATGTCGCACATTGAAGAAGTTAATGAGATATAATAAATGGGGACATGGTAGTCCAAGGTTTACTTATAATTATTTTGTATAACTTGTGTTATATAAAGAATCTCAACAATATCTAAGAACATTAAAGGTGTGATTGGTGCCTAAATGGCAATAGAATTATTGAACAAACAGATAAGCTAAAAGATTTCTTCTATTTATATCAACAAATTTTAGAAATGTTGTCAATTTAAAGTACATGTTAAGCTTGGAAGAAACAATAGAAAATTGAGAAATATGGATAAAATGTTGAATAACTTGGAAGATATGTATTGGTATGATATGATATGTATGATACAACAACTTAATATTTATTAATTGTCGACAAAACGAGAGTCAATTTAAGTATTCAATACATAAGGATAGTATTTGATAATATTTTTGGCTTAAGGTAAATCGACTCCTGCAAAATCCAACAAAAAGTAAAAGCTGAAAGAATACTAAAATGTTTAATAACATTGGAAACATAATTACAGAAAATAAACAAAAATCCGTTATGAACCAACATACCTTGAAAAAATTTGTTATTCAGCTTAAAGATTAATTAAAAAACACTTTTATTTCGATTTAGGAACCTACCGAAGCTACTTTTCAAGTTAGCTACAAAATGCACAATTAAAAAACAATTTCATTAATTTTTTTAATTCCAATTGCTTGGCTTATCTAGAAATGATTCGCATGAGTTGTACCTCAATACAATAAACATTATCATAGTATTGGAGATTTGTGTCGGTCAACAATAGTTGAAATAATCTAAACTAAAGTACAAAAAAAAAACAAATGTGTTTTCAATGTTTCTTCATTATGTGTATAAATATGAATACATATTTGTTTATATACAACTTCTGTTAATTGTATTCCATTTATTTATTTGCAGAAAAAGTGCAGCTCAATGTTGACATTTAAATCAGGTACTCAATTATTTAAAACGAGACAGCGGCCAAAATGTTCGTTAACTAAATAACACACACACACACATTGCTTATATATATGTGTGTATATATATATATATATATGTAGTGTGCAAATATTTTTGTTCGTTTTGTATTTGTTTTACCTTGATTTAAACAATGCGCTGGCTCCGCCCCGAACATGGCACTGGCACTGGAATTTTTCGGATATGGCTGCTCTACTTTAGCTCAGACACACACGCGCACACACACACACACACGCACACACACACGTGAATCAGGGCCTGGTGTGTTCCGCACACGGGGGCAGCGGGTCGACGGGTTCGATGCCCCACCAATGCGAGGTGAGACGAAGCCCAGAGCTCCTCCCACTCGGCGCTGGGGCGACCCAATCACAGCTCTGCGGGCACTGCGCATGGTAGGGTCTGCGATTGCGCCTCTGTTTTCACAGATAACAAATCTTAATCGGAGCAATGGTTGCTCTTATCTGGTTGCCCACTGCAAAAATCAATCGATTCAATCGAATTCGTTTGTTCGGTAATTAGCTTTTGGACAACATTTGTTGTTGTTTTTGCTGTTCCTGTCGCTTGGCGTTTTTATTTTTGTTAAATCTCTCGCTGCGTCGGCGAATTGTGCGGTTAGAAAAACAATGTGCAACTTATAAATACATTCTGCAACTAACCCGTTTGTATTTCAATCAAAATCATGTTTATTTGACAAAATTGGTAAAAAACAATCTACGAATTGCCAGAAAAATACGTGTTGCTGGAACGAAAATCAATATTGTAGACTTTTTGCCTGCATTTTAATTTAATTTCATTGGTAAACCGATTCACAAACTAGCTCAGTTTACATACATGGTATACTTGCACGGATTAAGATTCTTATTCAAGTTTTAAACTTTACTTTTTACACAAATTTATATCTACATGCATCACTTTGATCTTGACGATTTTAGTTAAACTTCTCAATAAGCTTTTTTTTAAGTCGATCGGATGGAAAACACAGAAAAAACAGTTGGAAAATATGCGTATTTTCTTTTAATGTAGGGCTCCAAATATCAGTTTAAGGTCGAAAATTAAAATTTCCCATTTACCTGAACCATTTTCACCCAGGAATAGGTGGATTTTGCGAAAAGTGGAAGACATTTTACAATTGAATTTCTACAAGGATCTTTGAAAATGGGTTTGAAACCGATCAGATGATAAAAAGGTTTAATTTTCCGCGACTTTTCAACAGTTCCAGTTGGAATTTTGAAATTAGCTGGTCGAATTCTTGTCCTCACAACTATTGCCACTCATTTTGCACCTTGGACGACCGGATTTTTTCGACAAATGTGAAATACACTTTTAATTGTTATTTAAGTATTACATTTTAATCATTATTATAAATTTTTAAATCTTTAAAATTGAGTCTGAGTCCAGTCGGATAGTAGGCAAAACCGTTTCATACAATCTTTTTCACGCTTGCGGGTGGAATTTTCGAAAAATCCATCTTATCGGGCACTTACATCAAAAACTTCAGTTTCTTAGCTCACACAAGCTGTCAGTTCATTGACTGACTAATAATCTACACACAGACATAGTATGCCATATTTTTTACTAATATGGGGCTTTGGAAAATTTAATGTTGAGTAGTTTTTGTGTTTACAGTCAAATCCTTATATATCTTAAGAGATTCAAATAGTATATTCAAAAATATTTACTGCCCAGCAAACCTTTATGATGAAGATAAAGAAAACTTACAAACAGGGCAAGATCGTCATCGTTCTCACTGGACGTTACGCTGGCTGCAAGGCCATCATTTTGAAGACCTCCGATGATGGCAAGCCGGAGAATAAGCCCTTGGGTCATGCGCTTGTCGCGGGCATTGACGGTTCCACGCGCAAGTTGACCAGAAAGATGGACAAGAACTATTCGAAGCAGAGATCCAAGTTCAAGACCTTCCTGAAAAGACTGAGATACACACATCTGATGCCCACACGCTACACAGCGAACGACGTCAGCTTCGAGCAGCTGGTGGCCAGGGATCTGATGGATCCCGCCTTACGCAAGATGTGCCGGTTCCAGTCGCGCGTGAAGTTCGAGTCGCTGTACAAGGAGGGCAAGAATAAGTGGTTCTTCCAGGACGTGCGCTTCTAAGCGGCAGCTGCCTCTATGAAAGTATCCTGGTTTGAATTGAAATAAAGGCTTCTTTTAATATTTGGGTTTTGGCATAAGGTAATTCAATCTGTTTCGCAGCCTCAACTAGAAGCAACTAGACATTCGTCTATATTTTCGACGTTAACCAAATATTTACCATGCAGTAAGTAGTACGGTCGCTCTCGTCACGTTCTCTGATTAATCCGCTGGTTAAATAATGGACGAGTACTCGTATATCTGGTCTTTTATCTCCTGGTAAAGGTGGTGGCAGCAAACAAGCCCGACCATAAAAATAATTATAACTTATCAATAAACGTAGAGAGAAGGTAACCCGGCCCGAAACTCGTAGACTTTATGTCGCCATCGCAACGTCAGATATATACGCATCCAGACTTGTTTACAGACATTTGCCGCAGTTACATGTCGTAAATTATACAAATATCAATCAACAAAGCTTCAGGGCAATTGCCCTTTCCGATTGCCGTCTATATTATAGTACACTTATTCGTATGTATTCTATTAGAAGTATGTACATATGCCTGAACCTTCTGGGATATGGTCTCAGCAAAGCTTAGAGATGATCAAATTGATCCACGTATATTTCACAATAACTTGTGAATTTCATGTGAATAGATTCACGACGTTTCAACTATATAACTGAATGTATTGAGATAATCCACGTATATTTCACAATATTTTGCGGATTTCGGATCAAAGGACGTTACTTAAATAATAAAAGTTCGTAGTTTCCAGTATGAAGCAAGGAATTCAGAGATTTAGACCAAAGTTTAAGGTTAAGGTATTTCACCTATGTATCACAATATTTTGCGGATTTCGAGTGAAAAGAGTCACGACCCTTTGTAGAGCAGCGTCTTTCACGCTCGTAGCTTCCAGTGTGAAGCCAGGAAATTGAAAATAGTCAATAATTACAATACAAATTGCTGTTTGTGTAAATCGGGCCATAAATAATTACGTGGCATGGCCATAGCAGAGACTGTGGAGCTAGAGGGCAGCCCCATACGGCCGGGGTTTTTGTGGTGGCTATAAAACCGGAGTTTTATTTCAATCTGCCGCCTCTGGGCGCTCTATATGGGCCTATCAGCCGCACAGAGTCAGTCCAGCCCGCAATCGATCTGTGGCCCACCATTGCCGTCGATTAGATAAGAGCTCGAACACCACGCACCACCAGTATGGACAACAACAGGAGGCTCGACCCGCCGAACCCACCCGAACCGCAGCTAACTGCAGTTTGGGATGGTGGGACGGTGGGAGCTGGGCGGTGGAAGTTGGAGGCGTAATAGGTCTCTATCATCAAGTAAGCGTCCCGTTTATGCATCCAGATCCACGCACACACAGACACACACACACACAGCAACAGTCGCACACACATCTATCGATCTATAAAGAGGCACTAAATCAACAACAACAGCAATGCCGCGTCCAACTGGAGTCAGAGCTATAAATAATTTATTTATAGCTTCGGTGGTGGAATATTGCCACCACACAGAGGTAATAGAGGCAACCAGCACCAGCACCAGCACCAACACCTCATCATTCCCGATACCCGATACCCAATGCATGCCAAGAGAGACGGATACGGACACGGGGCAATCAGTACAACGTTTTGCTGATTGCCGATCCGACGATCCGCTGAGTCTTTCTGCTTTAGTGGCCCGTGGTTCTTATACCCTGAAAACAAAAGACAAAAAAAATGGGTATTTTGATTATGTGCAAGTGTATGTAACAGGCTGGAGGAGACTTCCCCGACTCTATAAAGTATTTATAAATTAAATATAAAAGTATATATTGTAATCCTGTTTGTCTGTCTGTTAATCCGTCCGTCTGTATGAACGCATCGATCTCATGTATTATAAAAAAAGGCTGGACGTAGGAGCTTCTATGTTTCAAAGGATCGATAGCTCATCTCCTTTGAATCGATATTAATTTTAGGTTTTATCAGCATATATCGGACCTGATTTAGGGCGTAACTTCTTGTGGAGCACTTAAAGATCTAAAATCCCCCCACCCCTTTTTAGAGGTATAGCCTTGGACTATGATATCTACACCCATTTCGATGCCATATTAATTCCCTGGAATTTTCATAAAGATCGGCCTATACACACCGAAGTTATGAAAGAACACAAATCCTCTAGTGCGAGGCTAAGGAAAGAAGAAACTAGGTAGAAAGCGGAGACAGATTTTGTGTATCTATATATAGAAAAAAACTAGAATGTTCATAATGACAGCAATCCGCTGGGAACAGGGTATGGCCCAGTCGTGCACGCCCGACTTGAGCACACTTACTTGCTGTGGTTGAGGATTTTCTCGCACCGAAAATTGCTTTGATAACCGATTGTGTGCCCTGATAACTGATAGCCATGTTATTATTAAGGGCTATTAAAATTCTGATTGAAAATTCATGTCAAAAATATATTTTACTGCTGTTGTAAAACTTCATTTGAGTCTTTACAACTCACAATCGAACCGTTTCTGTTCACCTACATAAATGTGCAGAGCCCAGCCAATGGAAGGCATTCCTCAAGATGGCCTCATATGAGACCTAATATTATTTTATTCCTTACGTCAAATGTCTGCACTGTGATGGATCCAGATTCCGTGCTGATAACGTGGCGTATGCGTAATATATATATTCTTTACAGCTACTTTATTGCCGCCTTGCGTCATTTTGTTGCGAATAATTACTGAGCAATGGAGCCCCTATATCATTTACAATCGCACAAGATATAGTTGTTTATAATCAGATGTTACAAGCTGTACTCTAGGCATTATCTTAGAATTTTTAAATACTTAAATGTGACACTCTGTTTAATGATATTATAAGTATTAAACAACAAATATGGACATTTATTATTTGGAAGACTATAGATAACTCGATCAGATCAAATACATTTTCTTAAATCACAATAACAAACTATCCTGTCCGAGTTAAGATCTTTTCAATAATGCTATGGTTAATAATATTAATGATAAACAATCACTAAAAAGATTTCTATGGTTTGTTTTTAATATTCAAATTGTAATTTCTATGCAATCTGAAAGACCTAAACATTTTTGAACAGGTTTGCAAGGAGACATAAAGTTATAATGGTATTGTTTTTTAAATATACATGAATTATATGAAATAAAATTCCTCCAGACAATAGTCCTAGAGTTGAATATAAACATAATATAATAATCCCAGTTTCACTTAAATAAACGTAAATAAAAAAGTCGAAATACTTCGCCGGTCTTTTATTAATAAATATCTTTATAATGCCCGGAACATTCTGCAAGAACTGCGCCTCGAGGCAAGGCGGGGCGAGGCCAAGGTGGATCTCATCGTCACTTAATTGCCCGAACTACAACTGAGATAGCCGCAGTATTTTCACTTGTACTGTCTATCAACTATATCGATACTTAATAAACACTTGATGCGTATGTAATGTATACTGCCTATTACAATCTGCAACCACAATTTAATCTGTGAGATCGACGATACAATATTTATATTTGCCTATTGTTAGCTTAGGCATAATACCCTATAAAGTAACACGGTTCGAGCAAGCTCTTTAGGTAGGTTATTTTTGTCTAAGTTCGGATTTCGGTTCGTTTTTTTTGTGCCCAGCAACTGCATTGTCTTTGTAGTACAGCATGTTATAGGTATTTATTATAATTTTGAATTCCGAAAATATATTTACAATAAGCTGACAACATTTAAAAAATAAAAAAGAAGAGAAATCTACCAAATGTTTCCAATAACTTGCGTTCAGATTCTTAACATTCCACAAATTAGTTCACTTGTGATCGCACATTTAATGTGGGAACAAATGCGAAGGGCAGCCCCACAAGTAAGTCACAGATTTGTAAGCTTATGCAAATGGTAGGGAAAATAGATGCACGTCTTTCTCTAGTCTCCGAACAGCTTTATGCACAGACGGGAAGCTTTTCGAGCATCATAAATAATAAATTTTGACAAGCATCTAATTTTTAAAAACTCATGCATTTAATTGCGACATTAAAAGCCCGACGAAGCAACACTTAATAAAATAAAAAACGCTCCCCAAATATGAAGACCTCGAGACGTCTGCGCGTTTTGGGGGCCAAAGTTGGGCATTGTGAGCGGCCCCTATAGCATGTGTGCTGGGCTGGGTCCCCTCCCAAATTATGACAAATATTTACAAACACAGCGAGCTAATGCTCCCATTTCAACATGCACATAAATAAGTGTTATGAGCACCCGTTCCCGCCAACTTTGCGTCACAGATTTCTTTCGCTGATCTCTCGGCCCAGATCCCAGAGCCCAGTCTGCCGCTTGAGGCCACGAAAAAGAAATACTGAATTACATATTTGTGTCAGCTGGAATCGGGCGCCATCTGCAACACATGGCAACGATTTCAAGAATTACACACTAAATTTAGCCGGGGCCTGCTCTGACTCCAGGCAAGTGGCTCTTCAAGGCGGGTTCCGTCATCCGAGCCACAGCAGCCCGTTGCATCGACTCCCCCGAGTCGCTGAAGACTCAATTAGACAAACTCAAATCTGGCTGACATGCACAAGACTGACGCGATTCCATTTAAATGCGTTAGCCCAAATTAATTTGGCGACATTTTTCAACAAATTCAATCCAACTTCAAGGATTCTTTTATATATTTACTTATTTAAACATATGCATGCAATTAAAAATTTAAGATAATTATTACTCTGTAGCAGCTTTTCTCAGTATTGATTATAATTAAAATAATTATTATTAGCATGGTATCCCTAAAGCTATAAATAAATGACTTTCAGATGATTTTCGCAATTTTTGAGATGCAAAAGGAGGTTTCTTTGGAAAATTTAGTAGTTCCAGCTTTGAAACTCTGAAAATATTGCATGCCGTTATTAATTTCATACAGGTCTACATTTAATTTATAGTCTAGGTTCGAACTGGTTTGGTTCAAAGCCGGTTTGCAGCTTTGTTATATATAGTTCGAGTCAGCTTCTTTCTCACACTGTCTTTCTCTCTATAAATATCTTGCTTTCCTTTTCTTACTTCTTATGAAAAGATACTATATATACGATCAAATATATTTTCAAAATATTTGAATATTGTGGTTTTTTACAATGCTAAATAATTATAATAATAGTAAAATGAATTGAGTTTAATTCTGTTTCCCAGCCCCTATTACAGCCACTATAATTGAGCGCTCTTTAAATTGAATTACGCCTTTTTGGGCTAATAATTTCTTTTCAATCATAAATACATAAGAATATTGCATGGAAATGCTTTTGGAATTATAAAAACTAAACAGCTTGCTTCGATGTTTGCCGAATAAAAATGATTTTCTTCTTAAGTTGACTTTCCTTTGCCTCACTCTTTTTGCTCTGACAGGCAGCTGCCATTGGCTCCGTGGCTTTTAACAATTCAAAGCACTTCCGATCGATTTGGTGGCAACTACGCTTGAATTGGACTGTTGAGCCGTAAGGGATTGCCAAGTGGCAAGTCAAAGTCGCAAAGTTATTGGGTGAAGGAGGGGGGGCTGAATGAATTGTGAATGAGGTAAGGCACTTGAGTGAGGTGCCGGAAAGCACTTGAAATTAGAAAATGGAACGCAGTGCGCACAGCAGAGGCGAAAGACAACGGCGATTACAGCACATTGTGTGGCAATCATGATGGCCATGGAGGACCAGCCCAACTGAAAACCAAAGGCGATCCAAACAAACCCCATCGCAAAACCCCCCTCCCCGCTCCGCCCCGGCCACTGCACGCGCCTATTCCCACACCCTTGGCCCGTGAGTGGCGCATTGATTTGAACGAATCAAAGCGGTATGCGCACTAAAAATACCAACAACAAGCACCAGGGCGATACCAAATCCAGATTAAGCGTGACGTTCTGGAAACTGGGCGTAGCCCAACAAAATCAACAGGCTGTCCAACGTGTGCGACCAGGACGGGCAGCAGCTGTTGCCGCACATGGTGTGTGCGTGCGAGTGAGCGCGCGCATATGCAGCAATGGTGGTGGGCAACACAGACTTCCAGCTGTGATTCCAACTGGAATGCACACTCCAGCTAGGCGTCTCGCTCGCACAAGTCACTTGGGTGGCGCGCTGGTGGTGGTGGGTGTCACACGCTTATCAAAGCAGAGAACGCCACAGCGCGTCGTTCCCGCTGTCGTCGTCGTCGTCGTTGTCGTTGTTTCTGCTTTCTTTCGTCAGTCGCTGTGCTTTGTGGCGCACAGACGGTTCGTTTCGGTGCGGTCGCTCGCTCAGTTCACACATGCTGAATAACTGTAACCGCAACTAAAGCCAACGAGTGCGAGCATTTGTTGTTGTTGCTGTGTTTGCTCTCGCAGCCTCTCGCTGGCGCTAGCTTCGCTGTCGCTGCCGTCGTTGACGTCGCCGTTGGCGTCGACGCCCAACTTGATTTCTTCCAATCTTGGCTGGGAAATCGGAATCGCAACAATTGGAATAGTCGGTTGAATTTGCGTGCTGCGATAAGCTGGCACAACCAGCAGCCACCTCAGCACCCTTCCAGCTACCACCCCCACCCCAGCCCACCCCACAGCGTGGCGTGTCAAGTGCAGGCACTCGCTGCTGCCGCTGCCACTGCCGCTGCCGACGTTGCTGTTGCTGTTGTTTCAATCAGCAGCCAGATTCACACTCTCAGCTTCAGCGTCAGCCTCAGCTGGCGCCGGCGTCAGCCAGTCGCGTTCCATGACTTCCAACTCTGCGCGCCCAGCGACCGACCGTGATTAACTTTTACGGGTTTAGTCCGCTCGATGACGCCGAACACAACAGTTATACAACAGCCCAGCAGCTGCTTGCATGGCTGATAAAAGCCAAAAGAAATCTGTTCCGTAACAGTTGACGTTGTTGAACGCGCGTGTAAATCCGTTTCCGCTTACCGAGTTCCCACATCCGTATCCGCTGCCGTTTTCGCTGCCCATGCCGTCGCGTGTGCCACTCCAAAGCTTTTAAACGTTATCAAAAAAACAAATAAAACCAAAAAAAAAGGCAAAAAACAAACCAAAAACTCAACTCATGAACGTTGGCAAGATGCAAGCGCCTGACCAGAATCAGAATCTGCTGCATCCGGCCGCCTCCGCTGGTCCGCCGCCGGCGCAACAGCATCACCTGCCCATCGACTACAGTTTGGGCAACTTTAAGCCCGCCATTGCAGCTGATTTTCCCGGCGGCCCCTTTGGCGCCAGCCCCTCATCCTCCGCATCGCAATCAACCGCCACGTCAAGCGCCGCGCTGCATGTGCGCGATCTCAGCACCTTGACCACAATGGCAGCAATACCCTCGCCCACGCAGCTGCTGCACCAGCGCATGCAACCGGCCCAAATCACGGTGAATGCACATCATCAACAGCAGCAGCAGCAGCAATTGCCGCCGGCGGCTACATCGCCACATGATTACGCGCCCATGTCCGCCTTCAAGGCGGTGCTGCCCAAGAAGCGAAACACCGACGGTAAGCAAAAGATACAGATAAGAGAGAATCCTATACAAGCGTATGCACCTCAGTGAAGTATTATAATCGGAAATTTACTTAATAAATATTGAGTAAAAGAGTATCAGGAGGAGAAAAAGTTATTTTCCAATCTGACTATACCCAAATAATACATGTGCTTACATATAGTTGAAACTCTAGGAGCTATCATCCGAAAGCAAAAAAGTCTATATTTACAATTGACAAAATGTGGTTTTATCTATGTGAATGTTGCGAATGTGGTAGAACACACAGAAAATATACTCTAGTATCGTCTCTTTCAGTTTTTTTTCGAAGCGTGACACTTGTAATTCGCAACAAGTTAAAGCTTTAAAGAGGAAAAGCATAAAGTCGCTAGCAAAGTCTGTTTATAATAAAACTAATAGGTTCTTGAAAGACAGCCTGCAAATACTATGGTATTTATATATTGTGGCATATCAGTATTTGATTTCAATCTATCTGATACTTATAGATGTGCAAATACTTAAATACTAACTACATGCCTGCTTCCCTTCGCACTTACATTACAAATTCACGTACAGCTTAATATTTAAAACCCGTAGAAGTGGAGGACTCCGCAAATGGAAAAACAAAATAAAATTATTATCAATCAGAAATAAGCATATGAATAAACAATTTCTTGCTAAAAAAAATTAATCAAATACTTTGGGAAATATTGGAATTATGAATATAATACGATTGATATATTTTAGATATATTGAGAACATAATATATTAAATATATATGTGTATATATACATACATTAATTTTATTTTTTTCTATGATATAATTTCTCTATGATCTTTCAATTCTATCAAATTCATTATATATCCATATACAAAAAAAAAATTGGCAATTAAGGATTCAGTGTGAGCATCTTTGTATCATAAATATTCCTTTTTAAATATGTTAATTAAAATTTCATTTTTTACAAATGAATAATATCTAGTAAAATATATAGGCGCTTCCCATTGGGACATATATTTTGTTTCTTTTATATAAACTAATTTATTAAATAAATTCAACTAACTTTTTCTTTTCACAAAATATCAAATTTCAATTTAAATTACAATGATACAATAAAAGAAAATAATAAAAGCAAATAAATTGAAATGAAAATTCTAATACAGTTTTTAAAATGATTTCCATCTGTACTATAGTAAGAATTACAATGTCCAAACAAGTATTACAATGTCTGAACCTCTGTAGCTTTGCCTTTGCAACAGACCCATGAATATTCATATAAATAGTGTCTGAGCTGTCCCAACATTCAAAATGTGAAGAAAAATCCAATCAAGTCAAGTGTTACCCTTGAACCTAAGATCAGGCAGACACAATATTTACCTAACAATTTATGCAGATGACAAAAAGAAATAAAGGCGAGGATATAAAAAAATACCAAACGAGTGCACGACTAAGACATACCCTGTCAAAAGCTCTTAAGTAGCTGAGATTTCTTAAAAATTAATCACTTCAAGGTTTTTATTCCCAAATTAAATCCATGTCTTATTTTACTTGAAAAAATTTTAATTCCAATTGGGTATTGCATCAATTATCATACGTGAATACCTGACCTACTATATATAAACTATAACTAACTTTATAACCAACTTTTCGCTAATATAGTTAAAGCCTTCAGCCTGCTAAACAGTTAATATTACAAATGCACATAAAGATACCCTATACAAAAAGAATGTAAGACACGAACTAAAAAAAAATGTACTAATATTACAAATTCAATCAAATTAATGAGCGACTTTTTCAAAGATTATTTGCTTTTTACAAAGTCTAAAATGAAAAGAAGAAGCAAATTATAATCCATACAGATTTGTCCAATTACCTGAAGCAAATTTAAAATGTATAGATTTACTTAAACATTATTTTCTTGGCTCTAAGATAAGAAGAAAAAGCCAATTATAATCCTATCAATTTTTCCAATTACTTGATGAAAATGTAAAAACTTAAGAACTTTTTATTTAGCGCAGATAGTTGCAAGAAACATTATTTGGCTTGGCTCTCTGACAAAGATACATATTAAAGAATGTATCTTCGCAAGTGCTGAGATATTTAAATTGTATATACAGCATGCACATTTAACTTGAACTATATTCTGTTTATTGCGAATGTAGGCAGAGCTTTATCCCAGTCCACACCTAGGCAGAGCTTTATCCCAGTCCACAGGCAATGCTGACCCGTCAGCAGGTTTTCCCAAATGCCGCATTTCATATTCCCAAGTTAATTAAAAATATTGCCAGATAACTCACACACACACACACACGCACAAGCACACGCAGATGGCAGGGAAATTTTTAAAAATTATTTGAATAATGTGTGATTTTAAAATATTGCAATTCTGACAATCGCCAACAGGCACTCGACGTTGGCCAAAAGCCGCCAACGAGCAGGCCCAGAACAATGTCAGATTAATTGAAAAAAATTGTTCTGCTGTCCGAACAAGCGGGGGGGGAGGGGGGCGTGCGGTGTGGGGGTATGACAGTGCTGAAAATATTCATTATTCCGTTTGTGTGTGTGTGTGTGTGCGTGTGTGTGGGGCGCTTAATGTGCAAATCTTCCGTGTGGACATGGCGGACAAATGGATATCGGGGATTGAAAAATCCATAGCGAACCACAGATACGGAAACGAGTGCGCACGGACAAGCCAAACGGACAAACTCATAGATACAGATACAGACAGCAGGCATATGGTGTGTATGTGTACCCGTGTGTGTGTGTGTCTATGTGTGTGTGTGTGTATCTGGTCGTTGTCGTCGCCATCGCAGTTGAATTTCAAATATGAGCATTGAATGAATGAATGAGTGTGCAAGCGCACGGCCATGCTCTGAAACACACACACTCACACACACACACACACACTCACTGACACACACACGCACACATAGCCAGCGACAAGCGGATTTCATTTACCGGCATTACATGTATCCAGCGGATATGTTTTTAGCTCCGCAGCTTGAGCCCGGCACAGACATGGATATGCCCAAACACACACACACACACACACACACACACGCACACACACACCCGTGCTGTGCAGAATTTTCAATTCCGTTTGGCGCGCCACGGCTTTTTTTTTCATTCTCCACTTTCCGTTTCTCTGTTCGCCATTTTCACATTCTCTATGCGTTTACTTTTCGTGTTGTTGGGGTTTTCTCTGAGTTCGTTTTTGTTGGCCGCTCGTGAAAATGAATTTCGCTTTGTTTGTTGAAATATTTTTTGGTAAAATATTGGCGAAGCAGCTTTCCACAATTTCCTGAGTGTCCCCCATGCGCCGGGTTGACTGATTGGCCACTCCTGTCGAGTTGTCGCCGTTGCACAATCATCGCCGCGATTCCTCGTGTGCGACCCTCCCCACTGTATCACAGTATCGCATGTGGGCAAAAATAAGTATCACAAAAAATCTCAACGCTTTGAACGGGAAATGTGATTAAATTCGCTTTAAATTTGTTTGTGTTTCATGCGCACTTAGTTTGCGCTTTAGAATTCCGGAAATACACTCAAGAGATTGTTTTCATAAGTAAAAAAGAAGTTTAAGCGCTTAATCGAATTTTTGATTAGACTATAAATTAGATAGATTAGACTGATAAAAAATATATATTTAAAATAGTTTCTATTCAAAAACAAAAACTGAAGTTTCTTGTTTCAAAATTATTAAAAATTAATTGAAATGTAGAAATCTTATATGCACCTTATAAATACATAGACAAGACTATATTTCGTTTCGGGAAAAATCTTAAGTTCTAGTTAGTTCTAATCCACAGATCTAAAGTAAAATGATATGCCAATTCAGAATGCATTGAAAAGGTTCGTTCGCTTCAATCGTGATTTAGAGATCAATTTCTACATTTTCCAGAAAATTCGTCAGTTTGAAGAGTAAATACACAGTAAATACTCGGAACTTAAAAGATCAGATCATACATATTCCATACGAAAGCTTTTTTTTATACTTATATTAACTCTCACTCTTAATTTATCGTGCCTAAGGTAAGTGAAGTAAGAAAAGTGAAGAAAGATTTAATGTAGCTGCCAAGATCTAAAGATCGTTTATCTCAACAATAAATATTCTTAAGCCTGTCTCATTAATTAGCATAGCCTAACCTGGCAAGAACAAAGGTCGTATACACAAGTAATTTCCGTCTCGATTTCCCATTGAGCAAAGACAACAATTTCAATTGTCGCATGCGCCAAATGGATCAACACCAACCCGAAGTTTTTTACCCCAGCCCAGCCCAGTCCAGCCCGGCCTCATTCAATTAATAGAAAAACACAGCAAAACTTTGTCAATGGGTTACGTTTTACCGTAGCGCAAAGTGAGTCACGAATTAAGTTAAATTAAAATTGCCCACGGCTGGCGGACAGTCGCCCCCGCCCGACAATCTACTTAAGAGGGAGGCCCAGCTAGACGATGAGTCGAGCACGAGCCAGAGCACGAGTCAGAGATCAAATGGTCTAATCAGAGAACCTCACGCACTGATTCATATGGGCTAATGATCAGGCAGAACAACATCAACAACAAAAACAACAACAGCTGCGCATACTTGCCAAATGATATCAGTGAGAAATGTGATCGGTATTTGGGCACAAAAAAACATATTGATATTGATACATATAATTTATGTGTAGATGTATAGATTAGATGAGTATGTGGCGTTATGGTTGGGGGGCGATATAAATTCTACAATAAATTCTTAAGCCATTTTCAATCACACCAAACAATTGAACGGCGATTCGAATCAATTAAAAGCAATCGAAATATCCTATCGAATATATACATATAAATCGATCCATTGCCATCCGACGGCCCAGAGTCAAGAGCTCTCTAATCAGAGCCAAGTGTTTAGGTGTCTACTATCTGGAAAATTTACGCATCGAAAATTGTTGTAAATTAATCAAAAATAAACACAACATCGAAGCCAGGGCATAGGCGACACACCAAGGAGCAGCTGCCCTTCTGCAACAGATATCTT